CGGTTCCAGCCACGGGCCAGTTTTAGCAGCGGCTGAATCGGGGAAGCTGGGGGCAGAGCAGCTCCAATGGTCCGGCTGCTCGGAGCACTTCCAGGTTCCTGATGGTGCCGGACCATCAGGAGTGCCGGACCATCGGAGTTTTACTGTATGATGTCATTTCCTGACTTTTTGTTTTATAGACTGATTGATAGTTTATTAATCTATCCTGCCAACTTAACAGTTTTCAACGCTATGTTAGGAAATAAAAAGCATGTGCTTCTATTCAAACTTTTTTGGAAGTATTATTGAGGAAATTCACCAGAACAGTTTAGCAGTCCTATAGGGACTATGTAGCACATATAACATATAGGTAGGAGCGCAATATCATTAGCTTTAAAAAGGAGAAAAGTTTGTTTTAAAAATACATAGACCCCCTCCCCCCCCAACACACACACATATATATAACGGTCTTTACTCAGGCAAAACTCTCATGGACTTCACCAGAACATTTAGTCTTGGACTCAGAGTCTATCCTCGACCAATAGTTTGTACTCTTTTCCATAACATAACCCTTTATTTTCAAAGAAAAAATGATTTCAGGACCCAATTTTCCTCTCATATAGCCATAAATGACTTCCCTAGACCTGTTCATCCTCCCCAGTGCAGGGTGCAATCCCCCATGTTGAGAACCAATGCAATATATCAGTTTCACTAAAAGCCATCACTTAATAGTGCAGTGATAGAAAACTTTTGCAGCTCTAATGACAGGATTTTCACCATCATGCTGCCTTCCCATAAGGCTTGCCTACTCGGGAAAATAATTACTTATTATGCCAATACAGTTAAATGGCTGTCTTTGGTTTAACTTAAACCTCATCCTTAATGCCATAAATTAAAATTGAAAGAAAGCATTTATACCAGGATACAAATGTTCACTGAGTTATGATGGTGTAGCTATACCAGTTAAAATTCACATATGAATGCCTACACACAATGAAATTATTTCAGTACACAAGGCTATACTCTAGCGAACAAAGTGATAAAAAAAAACAGTGGAACTGCCAGAGCCTTGTCTATACAAGAGCCCTCACCATTGCTACTAAGAGGAAACACTGGGGGGAAAGATTGGCATTACGCAAGGTCTGAGTTAAGAAACGGACAATCCAACCTAAGAATGTTAAAGACTAGTCGACTATTGGATAAGCAAATGCTTATTGGATAGTCAGTCGATTCCCTCCCCCCCTTGCTGCCTCTATCAGATAGAGGCAGAAAAGGTGGGGTAACAGGGGGTGCTTCAAAGGGCAACACGCACATCTGAACCGAGCTTAGCTGTGCAGGCGGCACTGCCCCTTTGAAAGCTGCCTTGGGGACTTCCCACTGGCCCGGGCAGCACATGGTGTTCTGCATTCCTCCTTTGAAGTCAGCCCCAGTGGGGACTCTTGTACATATCAAAGGAGGAATGCGGACGTACCTATTGATTACTTGTGGGAAATTCCATCGACTACTCAACTAGTAAATTAACCGCCATTTCACATCCTTAATCCTACCCACAGTTTGCTTTGCTGGATTTTATGAGAAGGTGATCAAACAGCTATAGGAGATGCATCTTTCACCTGACATCAACAGCTGACTACCCCTGGAGGCAGAACCAGGGAACTAGCCTCACTCCAGAGAAGCCTGCCCTAAAGGAAAAAAATCATGCTACCTGGGCCTTTTCAGCCCATACATACAGCTTCACTTTTAATACACTCTGCACGCACCGAGAAGCCAAAACACAACAGAAGTAAACAAGGGGGAAACAGTGAACAACTAGAGCTGCATATGACTACTAAAGATCAACAAGGCATTTCACCTATAATAGTTTCTGTCTTTCTAATACATTCTGGAAACCATAGGGGATTTAAAATACTCTGGAAACTGAAGGCCAGAGGCTGATTAGTTTCACAGCTCTAAATTAGGTCCGAATCCTCTGATGCCAATAGAACCATAATCACTGCTGGATCAGAATAAGAGACTATTAAAACTATATATGTATATACATACATACCCGTGTCAGTATATCAATGAGTTAAACAGCATGCAGGTCACAGCTCATTGAAGAGACCCTGTCAATTTACAGTAAGCCTAAATACTAGACTTTTAATAAGAACACCCAGGTACTATGTGTTGAAATACTATATTTCAAATGAAGTGTTATTCATGCTTTTTAAAATTACTGATGTAAAAATTTAATTGGTTACCTGCTAAGTTTTAGGCTTAGTTAGTAACCAGTTAACTGGATCTTTCCTAAACTCTAGTGGACAGACAGCCATGCAAGGCCAGAGCAACCCAGACTGGCAGGCCAGCTGGCAGGGCCCTGGTGTGTGGGGGCAACAGGTGGGACTGCGTGGCAAACAGGAGGGTCTCTAGCCACAATTATGCTAAAGACGGCACAGTGGAACCCAGACAAAAGCCACACCACAACAGCCCCAATGGGCAGGCGAGACCCCTGCCATGGCTGCGCTGCAGCAACCTTAATGGATAGGTGGGGCCCCTGTCATTGCTGCGCTGCTCAATGGGCAGGTGAGGCTCTGGTCCCATCTGCAGTGGACAGGCTGGTCTGGACCAGCCCCTCACCGTGCCTGCTCAGAAGACCATGCGGGACTTTAGCCCTGGTAGGCCCCCAACTCCAGCTGCCTTGCACCAGCCCACCAACAGTTAATTCATGATAGTTTAACCAGTTAACTGTTTTGACCAATATTTACATCCCTCTTATAAAATCCCAGTGGAACCAGTTTTTATTGAGCTGTCACCATTTCATGATTTGATCTCCAGCCCCAACAGAGCAATATGCACAAGAGTAGAAAAGACAGAAACCTACGACCAACCGGATCAAAACAGCCATTTCATTTTCTTCATCCAAACACAGAAAGGCACAAAACGTGAACAAACAGAAGACCCCGTGAAAAGTTAATTTCAAAATGAAAGAAATGTAAAAATCAATTGGGGGAGGGGGGCAGTGGCAACGCAGGGAAGGATTTTTAACTGGACATTTCCCCTTTTGCCATGTCTGCCCATGTTCCACAAGGCCAGTGGCTGGAGGAGATGGGTGCGAGGAGGGGCAGGAGCCACTTAGACATGGCTAAAGCATAGGAGCACAGTGACAGACCCGAATAGCAAAGGGGGGAGGGGGAAATAGAGGGAGGGGACCAGATGCCATTTTGTAACCTGGAAATTTTGCACAGGCAAAGCCCACTAGGAGTCACACTCCAGCGCCTCAGCCCCAGCGACCCCTGGGCTCCAGTCCCGCCTGCGGGGTATCAGTGCCACCCGCCCGCCTCCAGCAAGAGGGGCGAGGGATCCTGCCGGAAGGAGACGTGGGACCTGCCCAGCCAGGCCCCGGCAGCAGCTGCCAGAGGAGAAACCTGCTCTTCCAGCCAGGCCCGGCGCCGAGAAGCCGCGGTTCCCACCCGGCCGGCGCTCACCTTGCGGGAGGGCGCGGCCGCTCAGTGCTGGCCGCAGAGGGCTCCGCGCGCTCCTCGCGCCGCCCTTCCTCGCCGGGGCGCCCCCTGGCCCGGCGCTGGGGCCTCCTGCTGCTGCCGCCGCCCCAGGTGTTCCAGCCCCGCCAGCGTCACAATGCCGAACGCAGGCTCCGCCGCCGGGGAGACCGGCCCCGAGCAGGGCGGAGCCTCCGTCACCTACAGCCTGTGCCCCGCCCCCGGCCCGGGAGCTCTGGCTGCGGCCGCTCGCGAAGCCGGGGCCCGCGGGCCCTGTTGTCCCCAGTTGCCCGCCTGTCAGCTTCCTGGTATTGTCCGCGCCCGGGGCTGCCGCTTCCCGCCCGCGCTCACACACAGGCTTTGGCTGCCCCCGGCTGCCGGAATCCTGCCTTCGCTTCCGCACATGCGAGCCTCTCCCCCCGCCGCCACGGAAACGGAGACAGGGCGAGCTAGCAGGTGAGACTGGCATAGGCAGGAGGGGCTGGATCCAGCTCCTGGGAGAGCCTGGCCATGGACTCCCAGCGGGGCAGCTGCACCAGCCCCCCTCTGGCAGTGTTGCCAATATTAGATCAAAAGTCATGGGCCGGATCCCCAAAATCATAAGACTAGCCCCCAAATCATGAGATTTTTTTTTAAATTATATTGCATTTTTAGGTCAGTCGCTGGGTTTTTGAACTCCCTCTGCCCATCTCCAGGAGGGGCTGGCTAAGATGGTTGTGGCCCTGCTTTGGCTCCACATACGCTGGACTCCTACTCAGCAATTAATCCCGTCCTCTATCCCCCCCCCCATCAATTGTACTCCCACTCAACACTCCTCCATTCAGCTCCCCTATTCCAAAGACCCCCTCCACCCCATCCTCATTTAATCCTCAGCACTCATTCCATCGTCACTCAGAACTCACCATCAGTACAGCCACTGCATCCCAGCAGCCCCCCCTCCTCGCTTCAGCCCCCCTGCTGCACCCAAGCCATCAACCCTTCCAGCCTCACCTCTGCTCCTCTTAGGATTCTTCACTCTCCACAGGCCTGGGCAGGCTTTAGAGGGGTCTCCTCTCCTGGCACCCAGGGTTTTCAGAACCCAAAGCAGTGGTAATTTAACTGTTTCTTCACAAGTGGTGTCAGGAATAAATCGATGGGGACATAGCTCATCCATCTGATATATAATTGGCACAAGCAAGAGTCTTCTTTATTAGATCTTAAGCACACAAACATACATAGAATCATAGAATAATAGGACTGGAAGGGACCTCGAGAGGTCATCGAGTCCAGCCCCCCGCCCTCAAGGCAGGACCAAGCTCCGTCTACACCATCCCTGACAGATGTCTATCTAACCTGTTCTTAAATATCTCCAGAGAGGGAGATTCCATCACCTCCCTTGACAATTTATTCCAATATTTGACCACCCTGACAGTTAGGAATTTTTTCCTAATGTCCAATCTAAACCTCCCCTGCTGCACTTTAAGCCCATTACTCCTTGTCCTGTCCTCAGTAACCAAGAGGAACAAATTTTCTCCTTCCTCCTTGTGACACCCTTTTAGATATTTTAGATATGCTGTTGCAGTAGGTTTTGAGCATTTGAAAACATTTACCTACGTTAAGAAATGGTTTCAGTGGCCAGACTTCAGGAAGGAACCACTCTTCCCTCTGATTGCTGGAGAACTTAGATACTGGATCCATGCCCCTAAAACACCTTCCTTGGCCTGCTCCAAAGCAAATTCATTTGCCTAAACTTTAATAGCTAACTTCAAAGCTCATAACATATAGTAGGTCACTAATTCTACTTTCGTCAAAGCTACTCATCCTCTCAAAACATTTCTAGTCATAACAATAATAAAACTCACATATCAAAAGTGTCCGAGGCACTCAAGACCAAGCTTGGCCATACAATATTTACTCCTTCTGTTCTCACAGTACATTCACTTCTTACTCCATCCTCCCATTCTTAGAGCAAAACTGCTAACATGCAGTTATCTGACCTTGCCTCAAGGCTTAAGATACATGATTTTGGTTTTTCAGCTGAGAGTGGAAAAACATACAAAATAGCTGACTGCAGTATTGTCACATTCTGGGGTACACCCAGGACTGTCAAATTCTGGGGTAACACGCCCACTTTCCAGGCTGTCAGGGGAGCAGCTGTCTGTAGTGGACAGCCAGCGTGGTAGGGCTTGAACTTGAACTTTATGGGTTCTATCACATGATCATGAGAGACTTAATTTTACTTAGGAATCAAATCTCTAGCCAGAATAGCTAGGAATGGTGTCCCTAGCCTATGTTTATCAGGGGCTAGAAATGGATGACAGGAGAGGGATCACTTGATGATTTCCTGATCTGTTTACTCCCTCTGGGGACCTTTGGGCCAACCCAGTATGGCAGTTCTAATGTTCTTATGTTCTCTCAACAATAAATCGGTCAGAGTTGTCTTATCTGCTCTCACCCTGCCAAGGATTGGGTGTAAGATGCATTGTGATATAAAGTCCCCAAATGAGGGACACACAAAAATGAATCAATCAGGAAAATGGAAATGCTGTATTTCCTTCAGTGTAAATAATGTTTTCTGTAACATCCTTTTTTCATATTTACTCAATAGTAAAAATAAGGAGACCTTAAGTTTATGTAGAGCAATGTGCACTGGGATGAACAAGAAGAGCATTTGGGAGGAAAACATGTTAAGAAAGGGTAATAAGTTCTTTCTTTTTCCAGATGACAAGCTATTTAAATACAGCAAAGCTGTTCCAAACAGCTCTCACACCATGGGACAAGTCTACACTACAAAATTAGGTACAGTATCAGTTACATCAGTATATAGCCAGTATGTTAATTAAATTGGACTTACACATCCAGACAACACTCCTTGGGTTAGCAGATCATTTCTTCACCAGGAGCCCTTGTAGTGTATGTTTTCATTAGGAAATAATTTTGAAATAAGTAAAATCAAAATAATAACTCCTGAAATAACAAAATTGAAATAGCACGTCCACACTACAGGGGAGCATCGAAATAGGTCAGAATTATTTTGAAATAGTGCATCCACACTAATTGGAGCCTGCCTTGAATTGAGAGCCCCCAGAAGCGCTCCAGGGAGGACACCAGGAGGGTAAACACTTCCTGTAGCTGCTGGGTCAGACAAGCTGAGACACGTGCTTTCAGGGACTCCTCTCTATGGCTACATTTCACATACCACTCCTATACTGCCTACCCCCTCGTGGGACACCAAACCAACACGGTGTGCTCTGGTTTCCCTTGTGGACAACAGAGCACTGACATCATGGAGCCAGAGTTGCTGCAAAGTACTGCCATGCCCACGGGCCTCATGCTGTGCCTCATGGCACAGTTCATCCAGACTGTTTATACACTGCTCCGGCAGGATGACGACCAGCCTGAACCAGAGGATCCCTTCACCCAGGTCCTGGTGTTCCTGCTGCTGCAAATGCCCCTAAACCCTCTGGACACTGTGGAATACCGCTTCTGGCAGAAGGATACCAGTTCTGACTGGTGGGACCACATTGTCCCACAGTGATGGGATGACCAGCAGTGGCTCCAGAACTTCTGCATGTGGAAGGCTGCCTTCCTGGAGCTCTGCGAATGGGTCATCCTGCCCTCAGGCAACAGGACACCCAACTGTGACCCACTATCCCCTGTGGAAGCTCACCATCCCCGCTATCACAGTGTGGAAGCTCACCATGCCAGACTGCTACCGCTCTGTTGGGAATCAGTTTGGCATGGTGAAATCCACAGCTGGGCTGTGCTTCTGCAGGTAGCCAACGTCATCTATCACATTCGTTGCGCTGGGCAACATGTTCCCACAGCAGATTCTCCTGGGTGCATTTCCTCTGGTGGATCAAGCAGAGTCGAGAGAATGGCATGGGAGGTGGTTGACATGCCATGCTTGCAGCTGGCCCTGTTGTGAAGAAAAGTGACAAGGGTAGTCATCCCAGGAGAAACTGTGTATGAAGCTTAGCCCTAATCTCTGAGACAACACTGAAGGTTTCGGTTCACATGATGGTGTGCTTCGAGCAAGGCCATCTATTGCCTAGACAGGGGGCACTTTCCTGCAGGGGCACAGACATCCCGTGGAACATCGCTACCGCCATATCGCCATTCAGCCATAGACATCAGTGTTGCACTTTCTGATGTGGAGAGCCTGGAGGTTCATCTCCTCACCTCTGTCCGCAATGAGATCCAGGATCTTTTCACCAGTCCAGGCTGGCACTCATTTGCCTTCCTGGCCAGGGGCAGCCAAGGATGCTGGGGGAGTGCTGGCAGCTATGTGGGGCTCAGAGGGAGTGCTGGGGTCTGCCATGGCTCCTTAGGGGGGCTTCAGTGTGGCATGGGGCTGGCAAGCTGCTTTAAAAGCTCTGCAGGAGAAGGGGCGTGCTGGAGCTGGCAGGTGTGGCCAGAGCGGCCACAAGTGCAGCTCTCTGGAGGCCTATTATTTCAAAATAACAGCAGCTGAGCATCCACAGTAATGCTATTTTGAAATAACAATTTTGAACTAAGTGTTATTCCTTGTGGAATACAGAAGTACAGATTTTGAAATAACCAGCTCATTATTTTGAAATAACAGGTTTGGTAGTGTAGATGGCCCACTTGTTATTTTAAAATAAGTATAGATCAGGGTGTGGTGATTTAACTGCCAGTGTTGGGCATTGTGAGATGATTTCTAAAAGGCAGTAGCAGTCAATTTAAGCAACACAGCATCTACACTGATGCTATGTTGTCCTGACTTCATCAGCTTACACACTGTATCTCTCACTGAGGCGATATTATTTATTCAGCATAGTGGATGAGTTACATTGATGTGAGCTACATTTTAGTATAGATGCTTACAGAGTTAAGCTGATGTAAGCTATATTATGCCAGCTGAACTCTGTAGTGTAGACTGGGCACAAGGGTGGCAGGAAGGGTCAAATGGGAGTCCAACAGGGAAGGCAGAAAAAAGTAATTGTGTCCATAATATTGGCTGGCGCATGTGTAAAAAAACCAATTGAACAAAAAATCAAACAAAAACATCTATGATATTGGTACACCGGGTGCTAGCTCTTGCAAAAGCTATGGACACAGGGGGTACAGACATTCATATCTGGGAACCAGGCCAATTCAACTATATGTTAGTATACTTCAAGTTAGCTGTTACACTTGTAAAAATGTGTTGAGTGTTCAAACTTGATATACAATACTCGTAAATAGCTGCCTGCACTAATCTTGTAATCCTATGCTATAAGGTAATACATACATTTTGCTTTTTAACTATAAAAATGCCTGCTTTGAGTTAATCAACTCAAGCAGAAGCAGTTCTCCCATCCACCATGAAGGACTATCAAAACTAAGTGGGCCATTACAGTCAGTGGAAGATGGGAGAACTTCAGGTTAATTTCTGAATGCTATAAATCTTGTAAACAATTATTTCACAAAGCAAACCACTTAAAAAGAAAGAAGAAAGAATCTAAACATGCATAAAGGTCTGAGTCAAAGAATGTATAAAAGGAAAAGTGTTCATTCTTCTTGCTTGCTCTGCCAAACATTGCCAGAGGGCTTCAAAGATAATTGCATTTTCCCTAAACTGTGCCACATTCCTGAGAGGATTGCCTTTTCCTGCTAGAATTTCCATATTGTTATTATTAAAAATAATTGTAACATCCTGTGCAGGGAGACTAACTAAGGATCTGTTTAAATAATACACAAATGATACATTGGGATGTGATATGCCATGTGAGAAAATACTGAAATGGTGACAAAATGTATCACTTTGTGTATTTTTCTAACTATGTATTATATATAGGTTTTTATAAAATAAAGAGTTGAATGTGACCTAATTGTGTCACTATGCAATCTCTGTTCTATCCATCCTCTAACAGACAATGCTGATAAGCTAGAGTATGGCACCAACCTCGCTTCCAGGAGAGATCTTGAGGGGGGGGGAGAGAATGTTTGTTACCAGACCAGCACTTCTAAGATCTTCTGGTTTGTAGAAAAGAGGACTGTGAAATCCTGTGTCCTCCCCATCCTGCACCTCAAAGATAGAAGTGCAATGAGGAGGGAGGCCTCTGATTGTGATATGATTGATTTAAAAAAATCAGTGACACTAAGGCCACACTTTATATTTATTGAAATGTTGACGTACCACAGTTGTTATAATATTAGGAAGTTTCAGTTTGCATTGAGGTACTGAGTTCTAGGAGAAAGCCAGTGTGATGGATTTAGACGTTTTAAAGAAATCAGTGAATCAATTGATTGGAAACATCTCATAATCTATGAGAATATGTCTAGAATAAACAGATCTTTGTAAAACTGTAAAGGAAATCTGGAGGAAATTACTAATTAAGTGACTGGATTTCCATGCTTCTGGAAGACTTTGACAGATGGTGATGGGTAAGCGAAGTGCTGGGTACTCTATATATGATACACCAGTTGGCAGATACTGTTTCCTATGGTTACATTTTTTTTCTCTGCTGCACTAAAAATATTCCAGAGGAGTTCAGAGAGATGCTATAATGACCCAATTGTACTTTATTAATAATATCCTCATCTGGAGATACTATACATGATACTAGACTCAGAAACATTAAGAAAAAAAGGGTTAACATTTAATTTTTAAAAGTACCATATGACAATATTAAAAGAAAAGTATCATAACCGAGAAAGATTGCAAGCTAAATAACACCAAAGTAGATGTTATTGTAACCCACATAAAATAAAATGCTACAATATAAAGTTACGTCCAAAAATAAGTAGAAAAGCAGGTGAAGAAACATGTATTTGTGTCTCTGCACAAGTGTTGTCACTTAGTATGAATCTAGTAGGTTCAACCTTAAAATTTTCAGCAACACCTCCATTATTTGTAGGGCCACTTTAGGCCCTGCACCTGTAATGATATCCATTTGAGTGGATTCCTGCTTGACTCATATTGCTGGTTTTGGGCTTTAGCATCTTGGAAATGGTTGAGGGGCCAGCCAAAGGGTGAGCCTTCCTAGCTAAAAGTGTTAGGTTGGGGGCTGGTTGTTGCTGCTGCTTAGTTCATTGGGTTTTGAGTATTATTGTTGTTTGTTGTTCTGTCACATTATACTGCATTGTGACAGTGTGGTGAAAGGACTTTGGGACACCAGCAAACTAAGAAAACAATCAGGAATATCAGAGTCCCATACTTCTCAAATGTCCTTCATTTTCCTTCTGTCCACTCTCCCCACTCTCTCCTTCAGCTCTCTCCTTCTTCTCCCTATCTCAGTAGCTAAAGTTTCTTATCTGCTTTCCTCTTCCAACTCCTACACTTACCTCATTTCATCCCATCCTATCCCATCTCCTGATTTTCCTTGCAACCACTCTCACTGCATTCCTTACATTTTCCCTTAACCTTTTACTCTCTGGGTATGTCTACACTGTGAGGTTTTTCCGGGATATTGGAGGTATCCCGGAAAAACTCTGCCGCATCCAGAGAACGAGTTTGCTCTTCTCCAAAAAAAAAAACAAACCCACAGAAGAGGAAGCGTGCTTTTTGGGGTGCCATGTATGCCTCATTCTGAGGAATAAGGGCTCCACTGAAAGAGGCTTTTCCAGAAAAGCAATCAGAAAAAGCTACACAAATTGCAGAGCACAATTTGCGTTGCTTTTTCCAGAAAAAAGCAACCGTGTACACCTAGTTTCTTTTAGCTTTTTCCATTCACAGTTCCATTTTCAAGCATGCTTTAGTTTTTCCCTTCTTAATACCCCCCTGCCATTCCAAGTACTGCCACTTCTCCCTTTCCTCTCTAAACTCATTGAATGTGTTCTTTACAACAAATGTC